AAAGTGAATATAACAAATAGAATTTATGATGAATGTGAATCCACAAAACGGTCGCTCTGAGAATAATAATTCAGTGAAAATTGTTATTGTGGAATTCACATTAGTAATCACCGAACAGAAATTAATTCAAACCACCAAAGAGAAATTAATTCAAAATGAAGTGAATGAATTTAGATTGGTGAGAGATGTGACGGGCGTCAATGTGAATATGCGTGTGGGCATTCATACGGGTCGTGCACACTGCGGTGTATTGGGACTTAAAAAATGGCAATTCGATGTATGGAGTGACGACGTGACGTTAGCGAATCACATGGAAGGCGGAGGTCTTCCAGGGTTAATTCGCCGTCTTTTTATAGCCATTCATTAATGAATACCATTCGCGTTCTTTTCGAAACAGAATTTATTCGCAACAAAATTGATTATGCAATCACGTCATTTTTACTTTATTTTTGATGATCTAAGAACTACTCAACTGAGTTGAACAAGCAAAAAGAAACTTATAAAAACTCACGGAAATGAAACTCATTAAGGGATTGATTCGTAAAATGAGGTTTGTGTTTGGTTGAGATCTAAGTAGAGATCGATGAGAATTGTGCATTTTACGTAATGATAAAGGTTTTTGATGNACGCCAGATGATATTACATTATTTGAGCTTTTGAAGGAAGTTGAGTATAGGTGATAAGTTCACAGTGTGCAGATTGCTCGCAGAAAGAATGATGAAGTATCTTTTAAAATGCATTTCTTAATTCGGTTGTATTCATTAGGTAGGTTCGATTTTTGTTTAGCATAAACACTGTAATGGCTGGAGAGTGGTTCATGAATGATTGGGTGTAAGTGAGAACTATTAGTTCGTTGAGTGGTTGCTTTGGTGATACTTGTGGTGCTGAAATCAACACTTAATTGCAGACGTATTCATATAACGGAAGCAACACTGAACTGGTTAGGTGATGCGTATCATGTTGAGCCAGGTTATGGCGAGCAACGTTCGAAATACCTTGCTGAGCATCATGTCAAAACTTATCTGATCGTCGATGACGATCAACGAGTTGTGAGTTTAAGTTGCGAATATCATTTCTGTGATAATACTACTCGGATCTTAGATCACGCGTGCTGTTTTGAACGACAGAAACGTTGAGTTTGATCGTCATTCTTTGACTGGATAGAAAATGGAGTACAATCACTTGGTTAAACAGCTGGATAATTAATACCGATTCCATTTAGGATATACCACAAAGTGATGAACCATTTGGTGAGAAAGGATTGCGAGTCACTGGCTATTCCAGGCAAAAAATGTGTAAACGAGGAAATAGTGTAAGGTGAGCAATTGTGTTCAGTGGCAGTGTTTGTAACGGTGAATATGAGCAATTTGCAACGGAAACCGAAGACGACACTCAAATATTACTTATTCAGACGAGTTGTCGAGCAACCTCAACCGCTTGAGATAGAGGTTGAGAACTATTTACTGCAAGGAATCAATGCGATAAGTAAAGAGGCTTGGAAGTCTTCGTATTTCAATCCGATCACGTTGATGTTTCGCAAAAAGAAAATGGAACAGAAGGTGTGAGTGTTTCTTCGAATATTCGCATTCTTTGAGTGCACAACGCGAGACTAACGCAAATAATCATTCATCAGTTCTCAAGTGATAAGAGATAATCAATAAACTGAAATAATTACCGAAATAACCAACAGTACTTGAAACGTTGTTACTGCGATCGTCATTTCATCGGTATCTCTGATGAGAAGATTGGAATTTAACGAATCTAATTTTTTAGTTCATCGAATTCAACGAGGAAACATTACTTGTGCAAATAGCCTGTGTATTGGCTGTTTTTATCCTGTGCGCTATTGTTCTGATTATAGATGATCTCGGGTTAGATTGCTGTCACTGTTATTCTACATCATAGTTATGATTCATTGAAAATGATTTATGTGATCTTTATCATTGCAATCATTCAGTACGGCTAAGCCTTTACAGATGATTGGAATAAACGCAATCGCACAAATCTCGATCCTTCACAGACTAAAAACTTGTTTCAAATTAGATCACATTGTTTTTCTGAAAGGTGATAATGATTACAAGTTATGGCTTACAGCCCTACAACTAATAATTCCGAAGAGTATTTTCAGTTCTCTTCTACTGATATGCATTTCAATTGCGGCGTTTATTTTCCTTTGCATTATAAGTGCTTTTCTTACGATACGACTTTTATTGGTATGTTCAGCTGAGACATTTTACATATCATTTGAATAGTTTCAGCTTTGAATTCTAAATTCAGTGAACATTTTGCGTATAAGTAATAATAAGACTTTTCAATGATCTAATTGAGTGTTTCTGCCATACAAGTGGATATGTGAATACTGAGCACAAGTTGAGAATGATCATAAAACTGCAGCTGTGAGGTAACCTCAAAATAGTTCTCATGTTCAGCGATGAAATTCGTTTGTATGAATTTCGTAGTGAGACGAATCTGTAAGATGACGTTTTGAAGGAATTCATAGTTGAAGGAATGAATCTAAGGGTTTTTCAACTGAAAAAAAAATAGTGTTTTCAGCGATGCGTTCGAATTCGATCTTATGTTTGTCGTTTTTTGAAATTATTAATTGTCGTTGGTTTGCTTTCTTCCGCTATTTATTTCTTCTTCCATCGAATCGCTGTAAGTTTTCAACTGTTGACGTTATCTTTTACTGATTTCAGAGTTGCTTTTTCATGATCTGTGTCCAATCTAGACAAATAAAGATGTTTCAATTCAAAAGTAGATACTTTTTTTTTAAAAACTGAAATCAAATTGAGTTGTCTGGTTTTCACATTTCAGTGGTCCTTATTTTCGTTTATTTTTCATAAGACGTTATTTTCGTTTATTCATCTATACACATTTTTCAGTGGTCCTTCGTGGGATGTACTTTTCAGTGCGCTAATAAAACAGCAATAACAATAGGCAATTGTGATCAAAGTAATAATCACTCTGTCGAAATCGAGGTTATTTTTATTAATTAGTTTTCAATTTGTTGCGTATTTATTCGGAACGAAATACATTCATCCAATGCGTTTTGTTGAAAACTGCGGTCGAATTTTTCGTTGACAACTTTGATGAATGTTATAAGTCCTTTCCAATTACTTTCTATGTGCAATAGATAGCCACAAATTGGGACACATTCCAGCCGTTCAAAGTTTCGTGGGTGATATCGTAGTGTTGTGAATGGGCAACAACTAAGAAATGGTTTGCTATTTCAGTTCGTTTACGAGTGCTCATTGCTGATGCTGCTGTGCGTATGTGTATTTCATTCGTTACTCGCACTCGAGAAAATATTAGTTTCTTTGCTGCTCTGCTCAAGCGGACTGATACTGCTGTGGACAGTGACCTTTCCTGAACTCACCAATCGACAGTTCACTATTTGGAGCGTTGTAAATTCCGAAATCGATAACCTTTCTCTTTTCGACCAATTCGATCTCTATTGCAGGTATTATGTGTANATTATAAATTAAGGTTGGTACGGGAACCGAATGAGAGCAAACATCATTTCATCTCCGTGTCACCATCTCCACTTCCGTGCCAATCTCCCTTTCGTTCATAAGTGTGCAGTAGATAAGCTGCACCAGCCATACTGAAATTAAGGCCTAATTTAGTATCATATCGCTGACTGAACAGAACATTCCAAACTGAACAGTAATCCCCACAGTATCAATTACTTCAGTGGGCAACTGCTTTTGATGAGTAGTGTTGATCAGTTCAATGCATCAAAAACAATTCACTGAAATTGAATTCGGTTAGATTTTCTCACCACTAGCGTCCAAGAATTTTGCTTCAAAGATTTCAAAAGCCTTAATGATTTCAAACGACTTGTTCGCTTCATTTTCTAGCCGAAAGAAATTTCAGCTCATATAATCCGCTGGCTGATATTCGAGTGTTTTTCACAATGGTCACTATATTCGCATTTATACTTACTGTTATTCAAAGTAGACGATCGGAGTTGATTGCCAGACTCGACTTCATTTGGAAACTTCAGGTTACTTCCGATTTAACGATACCCTGGAGAGGATTGCAAATTACTTTTGTGAGCAATATTCAGGAGAAGAGCAGAAGATTTCATACCTTAAAAATCGCAAAGGGTATGTAAGAAAAATAGCGACAATAAGGATCTAATTTAGGTATTGACGATTTCAGGCCCTTGACGAGAAGAGAGAAATGGAAAAGAAACATGCACAAAATCGTGCTGTACTCGAGAATATTCTGCCTGCTCATGTTGCCGAGCACTTTCTTCGAGAAAATCTATCGCAAAAGTTCGAATTCATATCGATGTCATCAATTTAGTTCGGGAAACNTAATGATGTAATGAACTGAAAGAAAGAGAAAAACAATGCGAAAATAGTCATTCTTGAAAGTATTTTCAAAAAATTCTTTACTTATTTCCAACTTAAGGATTCAATCAAGCACACAAATCTAGTTAGGTCTAATGATGGGTAGAAAAACTGCAAAAATGTTAAGTGCAAGAACGATGAGAATGAATTGTGAGTTCAGATCGGATCTGTATCACGAGGGTCGCGATAACGTGGCTATAGTGTTCATAACGATCACTGAATTCGATAAATTCTATATGGAACTTGATGCGAACAACGAAGGAGTCGAGTGCTTGAGACTGCTCAACGAGATTATTGTCGACTTTGATACGGTTGGTTATTAGCTATCTGATTATGAGCGCGTCTCTATGAACAACAATTTCAGCAACTCGATCGAGACGAGTTCAAGTCTATCGAAAAGATCAAAACCATATCAACCACTTACATGGCTGCATCCGGCCTAACTGGACAGGTTTACGGCAACACTCACGTTGTGGCCATTGCCAAATTCGCAATTCGTTTACTGGCGTTGATCAAGTACATCAACGAACATTCCTTCAATAATTTCAATCTGAGAATCGGTTCGTCTTAGTTTCATTCATCAATTTCTCATCCACTGCAGTGATACGATACAATTAAAACAGCACTGCTGACGCCTAATTTCAGAAAATTGACATTATACGGCTTCTCTCTGCATTTTCCAATTTTCTGGCTCNTACCTCCAGCTGTTGACTGTGGCTGTGATTTTTTTCGAAGCCAGAAAAGTTTTTTTGGCTCCGAAAAATACGCATCACCGTCGCTGACATATCGCAATTTGAAAATACCGTATCATCGTTACGACTGATTCTTGAATCAGCCAATCTCACAGAACAATGAGATCTATGTTTTCGAAACGGAAATCGCGAATCATGTTCGACGGGATGGGGAAATTGAACTGATTACCGTATGTACTCAATTGAGTCTATCAGAACAGAATTGACTCAAAACTGACAATCAGCGTCCTATCATTAAGGTATCAATGTTGGTCCAGTGGTCGCTGGTGTCATTGGTGTTAAAAAGCCACATTACGATATTTGGGGCAATTCAGTGAATGTGGCCAGCAGAATGGACAGCTCAGGAATTGCGGGCAAAATACAGGTGATAACAGTAACTGGAAGAACGCGCTTTTCAATGAACCAAACAAATCACTTGCATTGGATCAGTGCTATTGAATTCCGCAAACAATAATTTATTTGTGCACGATATATTGCCATTGTCGGCAGAATTTTGTATAAATGAAAAAGATTTCGAAAAAGTTACAGGTAACGGAAGAGACGCGAAAGATCTTAGAAGAGGAAGGTATAGAATGTGAATGTCGGGGCGTGATCAAGGTGAAAGGTAAAGGCGATATGACCACGTATTTTATTAAAATACCACCCAGTGAATCTGAAATTGATTTCAACAAAGAGATTTCATCGCAGTCTTAAGATTGCCTTGTATATTCTTGTGTATTACAATGAACTTGAATACATTCTCATGTGTTTATTGTGACACTTCAAATGAACGTGCTCTACAAAGCAATTCGTGCATTTGTTGGTAAATCAAAATTAAACTTTTTGGTGAACCTTATCTCTTGATAAATCGTAACAATTCTCGACTACATCTGTATGCACATCAGAAATCTCGATTATGATCAAAATACACGAAATCAATCAATCAAGAAATGCATGCACATTCTTTTGAGGGTTTTTAAGTTAGCAGCGTATTCATCTGGAATCATTCATAATCTATACTCTTCGAACGTGACAGAGAACATTTTCATTGTAAGTGATATCATAACAGCAACTCGAACAATAGGTGATTAAGCTCGCCTGTTAATGAAAATTAAATAAATAAACCGAACCACATCAATAGTAGGGATAAAGACATCAACTCCATACAGAGAATGAATAGCCTACAACATGACTAATCCCTCATGATCAGAACTTCTTCTCTTCTTATTAGGTGGTGATTGCATGAAGTT